GTAACAGTGAGTACACTGCTAAGTTCCCTATGATAGCTGTAACAGCGAGTACACAGCTAAGCTACCGATGATAGCTGTAACAGTGAGTACACTGCTAAGTTCCCTATGATAGATGTAACAGCGAGTACGCTGCTAAGCTACCTATGATAGATGTAACAGCGAGTACACTGCTTAGCTTCCGATGACAGATGTAACAGCGAGTACGCTGCTAAGCTACCTATGATAGATGTAACAGTGAGTACACTGCTAAGTTCCCTATGATAGATGTAACAGCGAGTACACAGCTAAGCTACCGATGATAGCTCTAACAGTGAGTACACTGCTTAGCTTCCGATGATAGATGTAACAGCGAGTACACAGCTAAGCTACCGATGATAGCTCTAACAGTGAGTACACTGCTTAGCTTCCGATGATAGATGTAACAGCGAGTACACTGCTAAGCTACCGATGATAGATGTAACAGTGAGTACACTGCTTAGCTTCCGATGACAGATGTAACAGTGAGTACACTGCTAAGTTCCCTATGATAGCTGTAACAGCGAGTACACAGCTAAGCTACCGATGATAGCTGTAACAGTGAGTACACTGCTAAGTTCCCTATGATAGATGTAACAGCGAGTACACAGCTAAGCTACCGATGATAGCTCTAACAGTGAGTACACTGCTAAACTCCCCATGATAGCTGAAACAGCGAGTACACTGCTCAGCTCCCGATGATAGCTGTAACAGCGAGTACACTACTCAGCTTGTTGAAGTAGAAGACAACATGATTGAAAAACGTTAAGAAAGTGACAGAGATATTGACCTGAGTGACACTTACTTTTGTTGAATGTAAGGCAAAGCTAGCTGGTTAGCCGTCCTTGGTTTTGAAGTAATAGACTAGAGTGCAGACAGCTAGTAAACCCCACTCACCGCCAACTCTTGGGCTACTCTTTACCAACGAATAGTGGAATTGATTTTCACATTATAAAGCTCTCACAGCCGAAAGGGCGAGCATGTTCACTGATGTTATTCGAACCCGTTACCCGCAGATTACGAATTGAGTGCACTAACCACGAGGCCATGACGAGTCTTTAAGACTTAAGAACAGATAAAATATGCATTACATTTCGATAGAGGAAGTTTTAGAGTATTATCACTTCAGATTTCTGAATGACCTTGTAACTGTTGTAGCACCTATGACTTTTTACAATAAGCCGCTAGATCTATTGTAACTGTTGTATTTACAATAAGCCGCTACATCTACACATCAACAAAAAGTTGTTGACATTACTTATTCTAGTCAACTTATGCCTATCATTTCTTACTAAATTGGATTCTTAATGATTACAAATTAATTACTGGACTGTTATTTTATTTGACATTATTCTACATGTATAACGAACTCAAACTTACCAACACTTTGGCATTTCACAAAAACTTCGTAAGAACTATTCTTGCACTTCTCCCTGTTGATTGATAGATAGATAAAAATATTTGATCATGAACGTCGGACTGTATTATACATCAAATTATTGTAGTATCACACAACTCCTGATAACAACATCAGTCACTATATCATTACCAGTAAATCCATTAAAAGTTATCTCGTACGTTTACCCTATGTCGCCCTAGTTCATATCATATCACCGTGATATCGCTAAAAGTTACATCTTCAGGTTACTGCGATATCATTACCGGCTACATCGTCAGGTTACTGTGATATCACTACCGGCTACATCGTCAGGCTACTGTGATATCACTACCGGCTTTAATGGGAACAAGATTTATTGTACAAAGGTACCTTACATCGAATTATAGTAGGAATAAGAATGACAGTACAAAGGTACCTTACATCGAATTATAGTAGGAATAAGAATGACAGTACAAAGGTACCTTACACCAAATTATAGTAGGAACACGATTGACAGTACAAAGGTACCTTACATCAAATTATAGTAGGAACAAGATTGACAGTACAAAGGTACCTTACATCAAATTATAGTAGGAACAAGATTGACAGTACAAAGGTACCTTACACCAAATTATAGTAGGAACAAGAATGACAGTACAAAGGTACTTTACATTAAATTATAGTAGGAACAATATTGACAGTACAAAGGTACTTTACATCAAAATATAGTAGAAACAAGAATGACAGTACAAAGGTATCTTACATCAAATTATAGTAGGAACAAGAATGACAGTACAAAGGTACCTTACATCGAATTATAGTAGGAAAAAGACTGACAGTACAAAGGTACCTTACATCAAATTATAGTAGGAACAAGATTGACAGTACAAAGGTATCTTACATTAAATTATATTAGGAACATGATTGACAGTACAAAGGTACCTTACATTAAATTATAGTAGGAACATGACTGACAGTACAAAGGTACCTTACATTAAATTATAGTAGGAACATGGCTGACAGTACAAGATGTGCATTATTTTAGAAAAGACATTGGAACATTAGTTCAAGTTGAAGATAAGTTAAAAGATAGACATTTATTCTGTCAAAATACCACAACGCCTGCAATATTCTAAGCCTAATTTCTCAATGCTGATATATATTTACACGATTCCTAGTTTATATAACTACTTATTAGGCTTAGGAAATACTTACTTATTCTTAAATAAAGTTTTCATTTCTCTTTGTGATTCTTTCATCGCCCCAATCGCCACTCTATTTTCAGCTGAAGATACGTCTTTAGGTAAGTGAGAGGCATTACTGGAGCTGAAAAAGCTGTTATACAAAGCTAGTATAGCAACGTTATTGGTGATATTCGATGTTACCATACAAGTCTAGTACCAACATTACCAGTATTTGTGTTACATCATATCCCATCTTTCTAATTATTGCTCTTTAAACAATTATTATTATTTGATGAAATGAAATAATAATAATTTGTAATAACTTATATTGATAATTCCTAATAACAATAACTTTTTTATTTATTTTAAAGTCACAATGATATTCAACGTCTATACAGCACCTCTACTGTCTCGGGCATGTTTCATAGTGTCCTATACAGCACTTCTACTGTCTGGGATATTTTTTTATTGTGTCCTAAATAAGATCTCTACTGTCTCGGGCATATTTTCAATATGTCCTGCACAAGATCTCTACTTTCTGGAACATATTTGATTGTGTCTTATACAATACCACTACTGTCTGGGACATCTTTTCTGTATGCCCTACAAAACTCCGCCATTATCTGAGGCATCTATTGATTGGCTCCTACCTCATCGTGCTGTTTTTAATGTATTGTATGTGATACCATCTGGTCACGGTTTTGTTATAGAGAGAAATAATAAACCGGTTTGTCTGTTAAAAACAAACAGTTCTGTAATACAAGCTCATTTCCCATATTGTATGTATGAATACATACGCTGTATTCAGCCAAATATATTAATAATATTGTATACTAGTTAATTGGATGGACAAAAACGGCGCTGGCAACCAGTATGTGCTGAGAAGTGGGCACATGGTGAGATAGCTAGCAAGGCCTGCAGCAAGCTGGGATACAGGTGAGATTAGTCTCATATCATGTTTAACTCATACTACAGGTGAGATAGCTAGTAAGGCTTGCAGCAAGCTGGGATACAGGTGAGATTAGTCTTATATCATGTTTAACTCATACTACAGGTGAGATAGCTAGCAAGGCTTGCAGCAAGCTGGGATACAGGTGAGATAGCTAGCAAGGCTTGCAGCAAGCTGGGATACAGGTGAGATTAGTCTTATATCATGTTTAACTCATGCTACAGGTGAGATAGCTAGCAAGGCTTGCAGCAAGCTGGGATACAGGTGAGATTAGTCTCATATCATGTTTAACTCATATTACAGGTGAGATAGCTAGCAAGGCTTGCAGCAAGCTGGGATACAGGTGAGATTAGTCTTATATCATGTTTAACTCATGCTACAGGTGAGATAGCTAGTAAGGCTTGCAGCAAGCTGGGATACAGGTGAGATTAGTCTCATATCATGTTTAACTCATGCTACAGGTGAGATAGCTAGTAAGGCTTGCAGCAAGCTGGAATACAGGTGAGATTAGTCTCATATCATGTTTAACTCATGCTACAGGTGAGATAGCTAGTAAGGCTTGCAGCAAGCTGGGATACAGGTGAGATTATTCTTATATCACGTGTAACTCATGCTACAGGTGAGATAGCTAACAAGGCCTGCAGGAAGCTAGGATACAGGTGAGATTAGTCTTATATCATGTTTAACTCATACTACAGGTGAGATAGCTAGTAAGGCTTGCAGCAAGCTGGGATACAGGTGAGATTAGTGTTATATCATGTTTAACTCTCTATATCCAGGTAAAAAATGCAAATACACTTCCAATCTTCCTTCTCCATCCTGGATCATGTTCTTGTTTATACGAACTAAAAGAGGAAGAAATAGTTTTACTTGTTTATTTTATATCATCCACACACTCACATTAAAAATAGAGAAACCCCTGGTACTGATGACTGATTATATCATTTATAACATGGTCGACATCAGTTCGGCGGACACGTCAGCATGAAGGAAGGATCATATTTCATCTTAGACATAAATCAAAAGTCAGTTGAATCAATTACTATTTTCGATGATTTCATCATTGGGGTACATTCTATTGATTATTGTCAATAACATCTGATCAAACAAGTTAAATACACAGATCATTGGGGTACATTCTATTGATTATTGTCAATAACATCTGATCAAACAAGTTAAATACACAGATCATTGGGGTACATTCTATTGATTATTGTCAATAACATCTGATCAAACAAGTTAAATACACAGATCATTGGGGTACATTCTATTGATTATTGTCAATAACATCTGATCAAACAAGTTAAATACACAGATCATTGGGGTACATTCTATT